AACAGAAATATTGTAAAAGCTTATCTGTCAAGTAAGCAAGTAATTTCTATGAATTCTACTTTAAACGTGTGACTTTTGTAGTAGGCAAAATGTTTTTAAATAGAATATACTAAATGTCAGAGCCATCAATTAACAGAGATCAGAGCAGGAGTGGGGGTAGAAGAAGAACCCTCTTGTCCTCACTCCACTCTCTATCCCCATCACAGCCATTGTTTAGGATGGGAAAGCGTGGTATGGCTCAGATGATTTAGACGGTTAATGGTTCAAATCTGCTGAATTAAAGTAAAATAAGAGTCCACCTATCGCACTAAAATGAGTTGAAGAGCTAATAAATGTTTTCTGAACTACCATCACATAACAGGTTCAGACATAGCTATTATGGGAATATACAGACAAATATTGCAGGGCCCTTATCATTTTGAAAAATAACAAAAACACTTAATAAGAGGTAAATTAAATGTTATGAGAGCATGTGCGAAAGTGAAATTGATTCTGGATAGCAGAAGACATAGACGGATGTAATGAGGTATGGAAAAGTTTAAAGAAAGCACTTGAAATAGGCCTCATTAAAAAATAGGATTTTGAGCCAGGCTCGGTGGCTCAGCCTGTGATCCCGCGCCTTTGGGAGGCTGAGGTGAGTGGATTGCCTGAGCCCGTGGGTTCGAGACCCGCCTGGGCAACTTGGCGAGACCTCATCTCTACAATAAATCAAAAATTAGCCAGGTGTGGTAACGCGCGCCTGTAGTCCCAGTTACGTGGAAGGCTGAGGCAGAAGGATCGCCGGAGCCCAGCAGGTCAAGGCTGCGGTGGCCAGGAGTGGCCACTGCACTCCAGTCTGGGTGACAGAGTGAGACTCCAACTCAAAAAAAAAAAAAAAATAGGATTTTGTTAGCCAGGCATGATGGCGCACACCTGTAGTTCCAGCTACTTGGAAGGCTGAGGCAGAATTGCCTGAGCCCAGCAGACCATGAGGGTGCCACTGCATTCCAGCCTGGGTGACAGAGTGAGATTCCAACACAAAAAAAATAAAAAATTAAAAAATTATATACTAAAGGCCACAACAAAAGGGAAAAAATTAAGACGTAAATGTACCTGTCACATTCTGGATTCAAGTGATAGTTGTGATCAGCCAGGCAGCTATAGGTAAAAGTTAGCCTTTTAAGAGCTTGATTTTGAAGTATGTATGTTTTGAAATAAAGAGAATGCTAGAAACTATTTAATGTCTCAAAAAACAGGGTTTTCTAAGATTCCAAACAAAGGAACTATTGGTAATAATAAGCATTCAGGAATTCTGTGACAAATGTAGCTACTTCATTTAATGAAGCACAGAAATAGTCTTTTAATAGTGTTAAAGAATCTACAAAAACAGAACCTTAAAATACACTCATCCTAAACTTTGCAGACTGATTACTCAGAATCTTTTTTCAATAAATATTCTTCAGATTCACTAAACAATCCCTGAAACAAATATTTACTAAGTCAATAAACTCCCACAAATTACTTTCTGGTGCAATATTTTTATCCATAATCAAGAGAGTTTGCTTTTATTTTAATTCTATAACAATGAAACACTAAAACTGTTTTACATTCATGAAAACTGGTATACATTTGAATACTTTAAATGTAGTCAATTATTGTTATGTGTGACAGTTAACATTCTATAAAGTCACCACAAATACTGAAATGGCAAATACCGAATCACTGCTATTTTTTTTTTTAAGGAGGATTTATTAAGAAGACAGAAAAGCTCCCACAAGAGGAAGGGACCTGAAAGAGGTTACCCCAAATCACTGCTATTAAGGGAAACAAAGGGTTAGGATCCTGCAAGCCCCAGGTCACAACATTTTCACCAACTGATCAATACATCACCTTGTTTTATGTGTGTTCCTGTTTAAAGACACCTTATTAAATACATGCTGCTGATTCCTTGACATGGAACTCAGAGCCAAGAGCACTGTACTGCATGCTCCCACAGCATAAATATGAGGGTTGTAGTAAAATTTCCTAAATATTAGCCAATATAACTCAAAAGGTGTATCTAGCTTGCATTTCTACTGTCCATAACAAAATTTATATACATATGTTAGTCATTTAATCACACTGACATTTGACATTGATATTAGTGAAAATGAAAACAGCAAAACAGGATAATTATTAAGACAAGAGGAAAATTTGAAAGCTAGGAATCCTTTCAAATTTCAGATGATGTTCACTGCAGCACGTTTTTGACAGTAAAAAAAATTTTTTTTAATTTTAATAGAAGACATTTAAATCATAGCCGGCAGTGGTGGTTCACACTAGTAATTCCAGCACTTTGGGAGATCAAGGTGGGTAGATTACCTGAGTCCAGAAGTCCAAGGTCAGCCGGGGTAACATAGTGACCCTCATCTCTAAAAAATAAATAGCCAAGCATAATGGCGCATGACTGTAGTCCCATCTACTAGGGATGCGTAGGTGGAAGGATCACCTGAACCCAGGAAGTCAAGGCTGCCATGAGTTGTGATCATTGTGATCATGCTGCTGCACTACAGCCCAGGTGACAGAGTAAGACCCCGATTCAAAAAAATAATAATTTTAATTTCAAAAAGACATTTAAAATCATGGAATAGTATACAGTCAATAAGAAATGAGCTAAACTATATATATACATGCACAAATGTGCAGACATACAGACTACCCAGACATAGATCAATATAGATATGGCCTTTAACTTAAAATGGGAGATAAATATATACATCAGACAGACAGGGAAAGATATTTATAAAATATTATTAAGAGGAAAAAAGGCAAGTTACACAACACTATGTATACGATTCCTTCTGTGAAAAACAAGAAATATAATTTTTGCTGGTAATTATATGCATACTCACTAAACAGCTAAGGAAGGAATTCTGGCAATTTCATTTTTTTATTACAACAAGTATGTGCAAGCTTTATAAAGCATACAATAGGTTCTCAACAAGTATTAAATTTTTTTGTTATGGCCATTTAAAGAATAAAATAATGTGATAAAAAATTCATGCTGCTTGAAAATGACTCCTATGCTCTTCATTTTTTTTTTTGAGTCAGAGTCTCACTCTGTCGCCCAGACTGGAGTGCAGTGGCACACTCATGGCCACCACAGCCTCGACGTGCTGGGCTCAGATGCTCCTTCTGCCTCAGACCTCCTGGTAGCTGGAACTACAGGCACACGCCACCATCCCCAACTAATTTTTTGATTTATTGTAGAGACAAGGTCTCACCAAGTTGCCCGGGATGGTCTTAAACCCCCTAGACTCAGGCAATCCTCTCACCTCGGCCTCCCAAAGTGCTGGCATTACAGGCTTGAGCCACCACACCCAGCCTATGCTCTTCATTTATTCAGGTAAATTCTGCTAAATATAATTAAAAACAAACACCTCACAGTACAAACATAGAATTTCAGTAAATGTTCTCAAAAAATTTTCTCAACACTTGCCAATCCCTAAAACTGAAATGTTTAAAGACCTGTAACAAGAATTCAGAAGCTTACTCCATAAGAGTAAATATTTTAGGCTTTGCAGGCACTCATGGTCTCTGTTACATATTCTTTGTTTTTATCTTTTTTTAACGATTCTTTAGGAATATTTTAAAAATTTATTAGCTCAGAACCACACAAAAGCAGGCCACAGGCTCAGTTTATCTTGCCAGCCATAGTGTGCCAACCACCAACATATAACAACAAACCAGCATTTCGAAGTCTGGTATTTTAAATATATTACTCCAAGTCAGGCTCGGTGGCTCAGCCTGTAATCCCATGCCTTGGGGAGGCTGAGGTGAGTGGATTGCCTGAGCCCGCAGGTTCGAGACCTGCCTGGGCAGCAAGACCTCATCTCTACAATAAATCAAAAAATCAGCTGAGCGTGGTAGCGCATGCCTGTAATTCCGGCTACTTAGAAGGCTGAGGTAGAAGGATCGCCGGAGCCCAGCAGGTCGAGGCTGCGGAGGCCGGGCGCGGCTACTGCACTCCAGTCTGGGTGACAGAGTGAGACTCCAACTCAAATAAATAAATAAATTAAAAAAAATAAATATATTACTCCAGTCACCTCATCAGAGGTCACAGCAGGGTCATTTTTATTCTACATTAAATAAATAAGGTAGCACTATCGCAATTAAAATCACAAATTGGTTAATCTACTGAATTCTATATACTAGACAAACCAAACAAATGATGAGAAAACACAGCAAATGAAACTTCAAGCATTCAAATTATATAACCTTGACCATGTATGTGTGTGTGCTTGCATGCATGCCTGGAAAGCATGCATATCCACTTGAACAAAATCAGCTGAAAGTTAAATACTACACATCAAAGCTCAAATCTTCTTTCTTGATAATTAAAACCATTCACTCATTTAAATAATCAAAACTAGTCAGTAATGTGTTTTAGATGTCATCAACCCCTGCATATTAAGAACTACATTCAGAAACTGGTAGTGATTTCTTTGGTTTTAATTTAAGAGTTATTGGAAAATGTTAATCAACAATTAAAAATATTACTCTTTAAAAATATATATTGGGCTTCTGCACTAGACAGGGGTCCAGTCTCTTTCTTTCTCTCTCTGTCTTTCTTCTTCCCCCCAATCGCCAATGCCATCTCCATCTTTGGGGTACCCTGAACCCGGCTGGAGCTGGACTCCGGCAATGTTGGAATCATGTGTACACAGCAATAGATAGTACAATAAATACAACTGTGATTAAAATATATATATATATATATATATATATATATATATATATATATATATATAAAATTGAAACTTTTAATATTTACTATGCCAGTAACCATCACTATACTAGCTTTTTCCTTCTGTCTAAAGGACAACTTTTAATATTTGATTTTATCTAAATTTGTAAGATCCTTATCATCGTCTGGATGTTACCACGAATTTCCATTATGAATAATAAACTGGGCTAAAGTAAAATCTAAAATGAGAATATATCCTGTAAAAGTAACCAAATACCATTGCACAATATCTTACCTAGACTGGTGGGTTTTATCAGTTCATCCAATAAATCATAAAATGGTAATTTTTGAAGTTTTATATCCGGATGGACTGGGTGAAGAGCTGACGTTAGATGTGGGAGTTCCAGTTCGTGTTTAGGTCCCAGAAGAGAAACAGGGAGTAATGGTGAAGATGCAGGGTGACCGTCGTAAGTGAGCTGTGGAATGGTAGATGGAGACAAAGTGGCTGGCATGGGACTTGAGTGTACGTTGGGGATGGACAAGTCTGCGGGCGTCATGATTTTCTGTGGGAACCGCCGCCTGTAGAGTTCTTTAATTTTCATTTGTACAGCAGGACTACAGCCAGCCTTTAGCAAGTGCAGGGCTTTCGTGAGAAGTTCGTGTTTGCGTCCGTGCTTGTTTCTCCCAGCGTAGCCCAACAGTACTTGGAGTTCAGAAACTCTAAGGCTCATAACCATTTGCTTAGAGAAAAAACAAAATATGAAACATTAGTATTCCAACAATATAATTTACAATAACAAGCAACACTTTACTGTAACTTCTCGCCCTGTGGTTTGCTTAAATGAAGGACAACTCATTTATAATCCTAATTATCTTAAACATTAATGCAATTGTTTAAGTAACCAAATAACTTTAAAATATTCATAATTCATTACTGACTTCTACTGAGGGTTATAAAAGATAAAATATAAAGCATATACCAGGTAGAAACCCATCTCACTTTATTCTCTGTTCTGATGAAACTGTCAAGTATCTATCAAGCATTTCCTGAGCCTCCAGGAAAGGGCCGAGTGCTATGCTATGCAGACAGCAAAGATCCATGTGCCCTTAAGTACATTTTGTTTTCTTGGGGAAAAATTCTAAGTATATGTGAAACAAATAAACAGGCCACTTCAAACACCAGATGTAGGCAGGTTATCCATAACCTATTGTCAAGTCTTACATTCTATACTAACTCTGGAATTTTTAAGACTTAAACTGTTTTTGACCCATTTATAAACCAGACACATTTGACATTTTCATATGGAGAGTCACAGTTTTTACAACTTCACAAGGTGTTATTCTTCCTGATTTAAACATGAGGAGACCAGATCAGAAAAGTTAAATAACTTACCTAGGGCCATATAGCTATTAAGCAGCAGTCAGCATTCAAACCCAGATATACCTGATTCTGAGGTCATGCTCTTTTTCAAAGTCATGAGGAAAAGGACAGAGCTGGGCTCACATTACTGACTTTCTCTCATGCCACTTGCGAGGCCTGGCTAACAAGTCAGGAATTCAGTCCACAGGCCACCATGTGTGTGGCTGCAGTAAAGAAATAAGTACTTAACTATGTTTAACCCTGTGTTCACAAACTTGTTTGATAACTGTTACTCCTTTTTCCCACTTACCAAGAGGCTAGCAACAGGAAATGCCCCTCTATACCAATCCTGCCATTTTACAGTGCTGGAAAATGGACTCCAACAGGAGGAGATGACTTACCCAACCAAGAACACACTACTATTAACAGCAGAACCCGAAGACCCTCACCACATCACCAGTGAGTGTCACAATGAAAAGACCCATGTGAACCTACCATCTGCCCTCTACTTCCCAAGGAGGCCCTTCCCTCATACCAAAAACCAAAACACAAGAACTAAGCTACCTTCCCTGACTCAGCACTGCTTGTCGGATGACTCCTCCCCAGCCGGTCCTCTAGCAATTCTTTGCAGGTGGCAAAACAACTCAGCAAAATGATTTTAAAAATGGGGAGAAGAAAAGTATAAAGAGCTTTATAAGCAATATAGCTGGTTACTCAAAGAGACATGAGCCCTCTCCCATGGCTTCTCGAGCTTGGAAAACTGTTTCCTCAAGGTCCAACCTGTATCAGTCTTTGCCCATCAGACCTCGTAGAACCATTTTTACTAACCATTTTTCACATTTTAGCACTTGTCCCCTTTATTATAATTTTCTCATCAAATTCTATAACCAGACTGAAGTTCTCTACGGTAGTGGTCCCCAACCTTTTTGGCATCAGGGACTGGTTTCATGGAAGACAATTTTTCCAGACAGGGTGGGGGGATGGCTTCAAGATGACTCAAGCACATTACATTTATTATTTATTGGGTAACTCGGCAGTGGCATTAGATTCTCATAAGGAACGCAACCTAGATCCCTCACATGCGCAGTTCACAGTAGGGTTTGTGCTCCTATGAGAATCTAATGCCACGGCTGATCTGAGAGAAGGCGGAGCTCAGGCGATAACATAGCTATTGACAAGAGGTGTAAATGGATACGAAAATTCCTTACTCACCAGTCACCTCCTAACGGCCACTGACCAATCCACTGGGGTTTGGGACCTCTGCTCTAGGGCATATAACTCTGTTACTCTCAGCATCTAGGACTAGGGCCTGACAAAAACACACTTATCAAATGCCTGACAATGGATGAATGAATGGACAAAACAGCAAGGAAGGGACAGCAAAAGAAAGGATGGAGGTAGAATCTGCGATAAGTTAGCCAAACAAATGCCCAGACTCTAAGTTCTACAGAGGTGTGCAAAGCTATAATGTAACACTTAAAGGCAAAGTCTTCCCAAAATCCTGTAAATGTTTCTCTTTTCAGATGTTATCAGAGATTGTAAAAAATCACTAACTATAATATAATTAAATTATAAGGCCAGGCACAATAATTCAATGACTGTCATCCCAGCACTTTGGGAGACCAAGACAGGAGGATTGCTTGAGCCTAGGAGTTCAAGACCAGCCTGGGCAATGGTGAGACCTCATCTTCATAAAAAACAGCCAGGTGTGGTAGCGTATGCCTGTGGTCCCAAACTACTCAAGAGGCTGGGGCTGAAAGACTGCCTGAGCCCCAGAGATTGAGGCTGCAGTGAGCTGTGATCGTGCCACTTCACTCTAGCCTGGACAACACAGTGAAATCCCGACTAAAAAATAATAATAATAATAAAATTATAATATCAACTATAATATTCAATATAAAATATTGACTATATATCAATTTTTCCCTACTGATCAAAATGTCCTAAAGAGTACAAATTGATCTTAAAGATTTTTATTATTTATTTTAAAAGGAACAGGAACTTCAAATGCACTATTAATAAGCAAGCTTCTGCTTTTAAAGAAATAACACAAACTGGGCTCGGTGGCTCAGCCTGTAATCCCACGCCTTTGGGAGGCTGAGGTGAGTGGACTGCCTGAGCCCGCGGGTTCAAACCCGCCTGGGCAGCGAGACTTCATCTCTACAATAA